TTAGTTTGCTTTGATATAATGTTTAAAGTCCGACAATGAGGACTGGACGGGATTTCAAGTCCGCGCAATTAGTTCCAACTAATTGTTAGGACTTGAAATCCCGTCCAGTCCTCATTGTCGGACTTTGAACAACTTCTCATACTCATTAATTATTCGGGAGGGGAAAAAAGCGAAGGAAATACATATAACAGAAATATATTGAAATGATTACAATAGATGAGGTGACGGTTTCGGCCACCATTTTGTTCCGGTAGGCAAAGTGTCGCAAAATAACAAGGAATGACCGGGAAATCGATGTCAAATAATTCTCGCTGAATTCAAATTCAGAAAGAATTATCAATTGCAAACGTTAGATACCTCAAAAAGGAGTTAACGGGCAAAATTTGAAAGGCGTACTTGATCTAGAGAGCGAGTAAACTCATTTTTAGTTCTCCATACATTTCTTTGTAATTTCAATACATTTCGTTATCATTTCCGGGGTCATCAGTGCGTGACGCGCGTGAAAAATACAAAGAAATGTATGGAGAACTAAAAATGAGTTTACTCGCTCTCTAGATCAAGTACGCCTTTCAAATTTTGCCAGTTAACTCCTTTTTGCAGTATCTAACGTTTGCAATTGATAATTCTTTCGGAATTTGAATTCAGCGAGAATTATTTGACATCGATTTCCCGGTCATTCCTTGTTATTTTGTGACACTTTGCCTACCGGAACAAAATGGCGGCCGAAACCGTCACCTCATCTATTTATATTTAAACGTGCAAAAACAAAACCGACCATGTAAATTTCAAATCTGACGTCGATTTGAACCTCGATTCCTGATTGGATTATTCCAATAATAAAACGAAGTGCATGTTGGGTAAAGCGCCACCTCATCTATTGGGAACCAAATTTAGAATAATAAATCGAGCCTTCCAACCTTGATAGGAACGCTTCAGCAGGTTTGGCTGTAATTTATGGGTTGAAAATYTTCCACTCATTCGCTTACATTCGAGTGTGAGAGATCTTTTCCACACTCCAAGGATAAAATTCGCATCTCTGCGCACCCATGTAAATATCCTTTGTTTATCATATGATTATCTATGAAATACCTATATTTCTCCATTTCGTAAAGTTGATATCTTCACTAGTGAAAATAACACATTCGAGGTTTCTCTATATAGTGAAAGTAAGAAAAAAGCTATTTTACGGCATAATTGGCTTTCAAATGAAATTATATGATAAACAGAATATTACATGGTCGCTTGGAGATACGAATTTTATCTTCTCGTGTTGAAAATCTCTCACTCRTTCGCTACGYTCAGATCTTTTCTCGATCTTTTCAACACTCGAAGATAAAATCCGTATCTCCGCGCGGCCATGCAATATCCTATATTTATGTCAAGAGTGCAATATATTTAGCTATACTCCAATTAGTAGGCTCACTTTCAATTTGTTTTCAAGATGTCGAACCACAAGGCATCCCAATTATCTTCAATACCGGCATGCAACACGCAGGAACGGTTCCTTTTTCGACTTCCCCTATTTTTGGCACATCAGAGGACAGCTTATGCGATCATCCAGGAGGAACAGAAGTGATATTCTTAAACCTCACAGAGAACATRATCTTTGATAAGTTCCARTCTCGACGTGGTGGCGAGGCAAGGATGCGTGTTTTGAATGGTAATGTTCAGATGGTTTGCAAGTCTCCGGTTCAAATTATGTGCATTAAGGTGTTTGTTTTCCGAGAACCTGATGCAGCCAAGTTGTGCGGAGACGACAACGGTCGCATGGAACTTCCGGTTAARATGGGGAACATGGAAGTGCCCGATTGCTCCGGGATTTATCAGGTAAGCCACCATTAGCTGTCTGACATCCATAGGARATTGCACGTAGAGAATAGGTGTCCTTCATAAAGATATCATAGTCATGCTTGCTTTATGGGGGTATTTGTGTCTGTACTAATGAGATGCATGTAATGTTCATTTAGCTGAAGCCTCCTTCGCAGCCTGTACTTGTTTTTAAAAGCTTTCTGGCACAGAAATCCCACATAAAACTAGCCTGCTTTTACTACGTGATACTCAAATAGGTTTGAAAAAAAAAAAAAAGCATACGTAATGATGAGTCATGGCATCTACGGTGCTACGTGAGCAAAAGCTTTCACCAATATGTACAGCGTTCTTACACTGGAAAAAATCGCGCGCTTTAAAGGTTGTAAATTTGATGTAAATATGATGTAAGTGTCCAAAAATCTGTAAATTTGATGTAAATGATTTCCATTACAGAATCTTACATCATATATTAACATCAAATTTACAACGTTTATTAAAGCGCGCGATTTTTTCCAGTGTTACGTCCGTCGAGTCTCAATAGCTTGACTAAAAACCATTGAATTGAAATTTCGGAAAAAAAATATATTTTCTATCTCTGTAGCAATTTTTCTCAGTCGATCTTGATTCAATTTACGACGGTCCAAAGAAGCCTGCTTACGAGCTTGCAAAGGTAGAAACAGAAATAAGAAACCAGTTCCAACTGGCGGTAGAGGTCCAGTATATCGGAGGAGCTGGATTTCAAGAGTTCATCAGCATACCTTTCTTGTTAAGAACGAGGCCGAAAAAACCGAAAAATGGTCCTAATGGAAAAGCTTCGAAGAGAGTAAGGCTTCCAGGTCAGTTCAGTATTTTGCTTGAAACGTTCTATGGTTTAATTAAGTTATAACATCTTGTTTTCTGATTCTTATTCCCTCAAAGATTCAACCGATTGTGTGGAGGTTTATTCGCCAGACACTTCAAGACCACGCCTAGAGAACGGAGGTGATAAATTTATGAAAATATTGATATTGAGCTTCCTCAGTGGCCGCTTTAGTCGGCACTTTCATTATCTTTGATCCTTTGGGTAGTTTGGAATATTTCACTGAAAAAATGTGATTAGTTCCCAAAGTTTGTAAATAATGTGTAAATATATTGTAAATTCAATTTCCAGACAAGGTTTGTAAATATTATGTACATTCTGTAATATCTTGTAAATATTGTTTGATCAAACATTGGAAATATCTTGTATCCATTTACAAAGTTTGTAAATTAAGGACATTTTGTCTGTAAATTGAATAATTACATTCTAGGGTTAGGGTTAGATGTTACATTACATTGGTGGAGAACCATGTTAAATGTTACATTCTACCCCGCGGGGCTGGGGGGGGGGGACTCCCATATATTTGCTATACGGGGACGTGCCTTTGGCCAGGGTATGGTTTTTGGCCTTGCTGTCTTAAACAGGGTATACATTTCACCCGAAATTGTCTTAAACAGGCTCTGCAATTTAGATAAAAGACCGATATAATTTTTTTTGTGAGTCTTGGGCAGGGTAATATTTTCATAAGAAATACCGTAGAAATAGTAGAAGCACTGTTTCATTGTAGCAGGATTATAACGTGTTATCAAAACTTTCTTATTGTCTTGGTTGCGGCGTAGATAGCTATTCCTTATTTTTTCGATTTATCTTGAACAGGGTATGGGATTTTCACTTCTAGTGTTAAACAGGGTCACGGTTTTAGACCACTGGCGGCACGTACCTATCAAAAACGGGGTCGAGTACTACATTCTACTAACTATGACTCTTGCTATGAGTATGTGTGGCTGCATGCAAAAAGTAATGCTATGCCATAAAAATGAAAACGAAATCTCGCACAGGATCATGGTATAGTGAAGGTGCAAAACGAGGCAGACCGGGAGGATGTAGGGGTTCATATACTTATAACTCATTTGATTATATTCCAGTGATGGCAGAAGGAATCCAGTTCAGCCCCAGCAGTATATCCAACTCGTCAGGTAAAGACATTTAACTCAACAGTTGATCATGCAAATAGAATAGCCTCCTTCATCGATGGTAACCTGCGCCATCTTGAAAGGTAGACTAT